ATAGCTCAGTGAGGTATCAGGATGAATAATTATTTGAAATAGAAACAAAATATAAATATTAAAAAATCCCATCCTGGTCAGTGATACTGATTATATTATTTTTATGAAGATTTTTGAGGGCTATTAGGCATAGCATCTCTCCTCTCTCTAGCCATCTGCACAATGATCAGAGCTCAGATGGAAAGCAACAGTATTCTGACTGAAATAAATGATTGTTGGGCAGGCTTTCAGTCTCAAGACTTAAAAATCAGTATAGCATTACACAGTACAGTATGACACAATTGTGTAGCATGACAAGGTGCATATATATTCTTATTTCTGATTTTCTGGAGTTTCAGCCCGTGAAAAAATGTTCAGTAGAGGTTTGTCCTGGGCAAAGTGTTACTTAAACCTCCAAGTCCACATGTCAACACTGTTTTCATCAGATAAAATATGCTGGTGCATTTAGAAAAAAAAGAGGATGCATGGCTGTGACTGGAAAGAAACATGTATAGAGAAATCTTTTAATGTCTTTTAATGTGCAGATGAGCTGTATCACAGAAATATCCACAACATTTGGACAGAAACAACATTTTCTTAAAACTCCTTTTCATATCTTCCTAGCCATAATTTAGTACGTTTTGTTTTGTTTATTTTTCTGCATATTTGAGCAGCTGACTTAGCAAAAATACTGCAAAAAGTGAGTTTTAATTTCTACTTATCTGTATTTTAAGCTGCTGTGCATGTAATTCTTCCTAAGTTTTCAGTAATGAAGAAGTACTGGGGAAAAAAAAAACAAAACAAAACAAAAAAACAAACAAACAAAAAAAAAAACCCAACAACTTTCTCTCACTTACTTCTCTTGACCAATTTCTTTCTGTCCATGGCTATATAGGAGTATAACTAGATCTGGTATAGTCCTGCAGCTCCTCTGCAATTCTCAGCTACCATAAAGGAGATGTCAGTTCCAAATGCAGACTCAGCAATAACTAACAAAGCAGTATAATATTTCTCATGCCAGATCAGCAGTTATATTTGCCCAGTGTGTTTCTATTATCAGGCTGAACAAAATGTCTTATCTCAGTATCTCATCCTTATTTTTCAGAACACAGGAATATGCATGTCTCTGGCCAGATCAGTTCCACAGGCAGTCCTGAAGCAATCAACAGTTATTTCAACCAAAGTCATTTTACAGGCATTGAAAATTAAAGAATGCATAAAGATATCTGCATATAACACACCAGAAAATATTGATAATGGATAAGCTGGGATTAAATCTTACATATAAGATTTAATAAATATCTCATGAATATCTTCACTTGACTTACATGATGTTACGCATTTCAGGAAGAAATGCAAAGACATGGGATGATGATTTTCTTCCCCTTTGTCCAAATGCAGGCTATCATCTGTTTCTCCCTGAATTACTGAAGAAAATCATTTCCTTGACAGTTTTTCTCCCCAATAAGCTACTATTATTTTTTTTCTTTCTTCTTTCCTCCTTAAGTAAGACTACGAAATTTAGAGACTGCAAATGATTCTGTGTGATAGAACAACCTCAAAATGGATGCTGCTCAGACATGCTAACATAACTCACCAGCCCAAATGACCTTCCTCTGAAATCTTTTGCTTTGGGATGACATGGTCAGGTCAGTCAAAATTCAATTACTAAGGATGTATCTATTTACTGATGCATACTTTTACCAATTACTGATAAACTTGTCATTCAAATTCCTTAGAACCTACACTGCAAACTGAGAACTGAAACCCAGAAATTAACTGCAGTGAACAGAAAAACAGGACATACCTGAGTGCTTCAGAAAGAAAAACAAAAACAAAAAACAAAATCCACCAACAACAAAAACCAAAACACACTGTGAAAGATCTAAAATGCCTTTGTAATTACTTTCTTTAAGGAGGAAAGGGAGAGAGGGGAAGAGAAGGGGAGAGAGGGGGACAGAGAAGGTGTGGTGGGAAGACAGCTTACAAGAAAGGGAAAAAAAAGTCGCTCCTGCTTTTATGAGGAGTCATCTTTAAGGTCAGAGAAAACTGAAATTAGAATTTTCTATCTCATCTGACAAGAATCTTCATTTCAATGGCTGCATCACATAGGCCAAACAGCCTCTAAAACCCTGTTGTTGTTTTTTGGTTTTGGGGGATTTTTTATTTTTTTTCAGTAGTTTTTTGTTTCTTTGCTTGTTTTCTTGGTATCTAATAGTTTAATTTTTTTTTCTTAAACAGCAGTAAAATCTAAAATTGTATATTATGACATACAGCATTTTCCATGAAGATGGAATATTGAAATCCCAGCATTTCAAATAAACTTAGCATTTAAAGTAACCTCAAGACCTTACACACTGTAAATTAAAAATAAAAAATAAATACTTTGTTTCCTTTATGTGGGCATTTTACATGCAAATAATACATAAGTAAGGACACATCTTCAAAAGGCACATATTCCTGTGTAAGATGGCTCAAAATGTCCATGAGATACAACACAAACTACACTCCTTTCCCTTTTTATTCCTCTTTAAATTGCTACTTCAGTATTATGTACCTCCAAGAAAGATTAATTAAACTGTTATGAGGCAGCAGTAATTCCATGTCTAGGAACAGAAGCAGCATTGAAAATTAACCAACTAACCTACTAAGTTTTTTGTTTTGTTTTTTAATTGTAAACAGCTTAAGAACATCAGGAAACTGAGAAGATAAGACAATGAAGTTATGCAAAGAGTTAATTTGTTCTTACTAGGCAAGTTTATTCTGGTCACTCGTAATTGGTCACTGTAACACTCCGGTCACTTTAAGTTTAGCTAAATAATTAATGAACTTTCAGTGTAGCTATGCAGGGAATTAAGCAAGGCATTTTTTTTCTCCCTATTTTATCAAGTTTAGTTAAGCCTGGTGAAATGTAAAAGCCAAATTCTCACTGAATAGGGAAAGCAGAATAGAATGTTTGAATGTGCTCTTATATTTAAAAAAAGCAAGCACTTTCACAGTTATGTGTTACAATGTAAGAAGTGTTGATAGATAAATAATTTCTCCTGTGAATCACAGCTGCTAAAGGAATGCTTGAAAAAAGTACAAGAACTATGCTAAAGTTTGTCCACTGCTGTGAGGAAAGTATGTCAGTGATCTGACTTCATATTCATATCACTGACATCCAGTGATACTGTGACAAAAGTGAAAGAAAGGAAGAAAAAAAAATGGAAACAAGGGAGGAAGGGAGCAAGAAAAAGAAGAAGATAAAAAGAAAAAGATAAAAAGAAAAAGGAGAAGTAGAATGAACAAGCAAAGGAAAGAAAAGAAAGAAAGGAAGTAAAATGGTTTCAGTAGGCAAAGAGATCCTGCCAAACATCACATCTTAAGCAATCTTCTAAGTTGGAGCAAAAACTCATCTTTCTTACACTGAAATTCTGACAAACAACCAGAAACAAGTGGAATTAAGAATTTTCATAGCAAATACAAAACTTTTCAAAAACAGGCAAAACAGATTTTGATTTATGGTACACTGCAAAAACAAAGGGTGCATACCCACCTCAGTGAACAAGTGGGTAATTACATACTACTTTCTGTATTTGGATAGTTCTAACTTGTATATTATATTCTGACATGGATATTGTTTTCACAAAACTGATTTGTCTGACTATCACAGGAACCTTGCTAGATCTGCAAGACCATCTGCTGCTAAAAATCAAAGGCTATTTTATGCCTAACAAAACTTAAAATAATCTTTTATTCCAGAGATAGGCTTATATCGCATATAACAGCCCGCATACCATCTCAGAATGTGGGCTGATTGTCACCTTGGTGTTGTTAGAAAAACAGTTTCCTTATCCAGTATTCCACAGTTCTGCGAACAGAATGTATTTTAACACAATTTCTATTCACAGCTTAAGTGAATCACTTCCCTTACAATTCCTCACCCCCAACTATTCATTTATGTACAGATGAGCAAAGCACTTTGATGAAAGTAGGTTCCAGAATAGATTAAAACTCCAGAATTTGCAAGTTTATTTTTACAGATGGGAATGATATGAAATAAGGAGACTTAAAGAAAAAAACCTTACTACAGATTACATATTGTATTTTAAACGTCCCTTGCTTCATCCTTCCTCCTCCACATCAAAACAACTTCAAAGGCCCACACAAGTATAATATAATAATGCAATAAATTTAACCCAATTTTCATAGTAGTATGTCCTTGAGAATATCACACATTATTTTACGTCACATACAGAAAATAATTTGCGGTCATTCTACTACTTACTCAGTGCTAATTTGGGCAAGGTATTGTCCCTTATACATAAACACACTTTTGTCTCTGATAGCATTGCACACCAGTAGCAATCAAAATAAATCCTACTTATGCCCACATATGCATTCAGGAATAGCTGGGTCTTCGATCCTGCATGACTATAGATGATATGTTTAAATTATGCCTACTTCACGACTTCCTCAGTGAAGAACTGTCTTTGTCTTGCTGACCCTCAAACATTCCCAGGGAACGCCATATTTAGAGAATGTTTAGGTGCATAATCTGTTTCATCCTCAAAATTAATACATGCCAGCAGTAATAACTCAGAGCATAACATATGGGCTTTACTCACTAAAAACATAAGCACAATTAGCACTGAAGAAAATGGACAATTCTTGAACACTTTATTAAATATATTCCACGTGCTTGCAAGTCCAGTTAGGCTGAGGCCTAGCCTTTTTTTTTTTTTTTTTTTTTTCTGAAACAGATTTGAATCACTAGAAAAAAGCTATAATTCATAAAAAACTACCAAATAATAAGAAAAACCTGTTTGCATCTTATGTACTTCCCTGACAGAATAATATTAAATCTGCTTCATTTACTAATTACACTGATCCATTTCTTTCTTCTTTTGGGGGGAGGGAGAGTGAAATTACTGGATATTGTTTTGCCTGAATGTTTTCCTAAAAGTGTGCTGATGTGTATTTTTCACAGTCACCTAAGCATGCAATTTTGCAATTAAATAAGCCTTACTACACAAAGAGAGATTTCAGATTTTTATTCAAAAATTGCAAGAAAATCAAAGATTCAACATGCGGAGACTTTCAAGGTACATCCATCACTGTATGGCAAATCTCCTTAACTTCAAAAAGTTTGTCTTTATAGATGGGTGCTGAGGATGGGAAAAGGTTTGTATTAATTAGGAAAAAAAAAAAAAAAAAAAGTGCTTTGCTAAAACAGCTAATTACAGCTAATTCTTACCATTTTTAGATTCTGTTAAGTCTTAGGATTGCAGTTTCTCTCAGGTAGCACAAGGATCTGAAAGTAATTAAAAAAAAAATAATGAAAACAAATGTAATCAAAACTGTCACAATATTTAAAAGGGTTTTTTTTTTTTTTTTTTTCTCTCCAGTGTGACAGTAGTGAGCCAAGAATAAGCTTCAGTGGTTAAGATTAAAGTTATGCAAATTATTCTAACCACATGTACACTTATATACCATATTCCTCTACTCTTCAGTGTTCTGTAGGCTTAAATATACGAAAAAGGAATCCCTAGCACTTGGATTTGCAAAACTATTATGCTATTCATAGCACTTGGTACTTCTCTGAAGAGTCTTAATGGTTAAGACACCTAAAAATTAGTCAACGGGACAAAATCCATCAACCTGTGCTTACTGTGAAAGGTGGTCCATTGTTTGCAGCCATACTACAAAGTGTGGCACTTTTTTTTTTTTCTCCAGTCAAGAAACACGCATTACAGTGTCAGGCATCCACAATGTAACGGCCCAGAGAGTAGGTATTTTTGGAAATGGCACTGCATTACATAACCTCCCGTTTTCTCTCCCTCTATTCCACACACACATACTTGCACGCACACACCTATTTTTAATAGGGAGGAAAAAAAGCGTAGGTCCTACCTCGTTCAAATTACTGCTCTTTTAACTGAGTGAATTTGTAGCACACCTCCTTTATCAGTTCTCACAAAATGAAAAAATAAAGTTCTCTTCTACTGATAGATTATATATTTCTTACCTATAGTGTGTATGTACGAGATATAATTAGGTATGAGTCATACGTCTACACACAAATACATACATCTATGCTGGACAGAAAACTGCAAACTCTTACCTATAAATGGACATAGAAACATTTGGAAGAAAGCACATCAAAAAATGCACACCAAAATACATTTGTTTGGGGTTTTTTTGTTTGTTTGGTTTTTTGTTTTTTTTTTTCCCCTCTCTCTCTCCCTAAAGAACCACCCAAAATTTAACTGCTGCACATGCAAAAACGCAGAAGGCTGTTGCAAGAACGACTGCTTTCTAAAAATAAACACCAGCAGCCTGAGAGGAATCCAGTGTCAGGGCGGAGAAGAGGGAGATTCGTTTTACAAGAGAGAAGAAAAGAGACGAAAACCCAATCCTAGAGCCTTGCATACATGCTAAAAAATCTAAGCGCCCAAAATTCAGAACGGCTTTTTGGTGATTTTGGAGTGAAAAACCAAAAAAGAGAGGAATTAGTTTTACAAAACCACTCCTCGTCTCCCCTTGCATGTGTGCAGCACAATCCCCAGCCCAGAAATCCAGCCTCAAAGCACAAAGACAAAGAGTTAAGCATATATACTGCACGTTCTCTGATCTCCTTCAAGAAAGCCTGTTTTGGAAATGTGCACCGAGAGCGTGCTGCAAGCTGCAAGCACAGACCAGCTAAGGGCAAAAGAAAACAAAGAGAAAGAAAGAAAGAAAGAAAGATAGGATTAATAAAAAGTAGAACGAAATTCTGTGGATTGGAATTGCATATACTTACAGACAAAAGCCCCCGCTCCCTGCTCACTTTCTGTCCTTTCTACATGATCTGAAACACAAATGTGGATTAAAAAAGGGCAGCATGCTACAGAGGGAATTTATAGTTGGGGGAGTGGAGAGAGGGTAGGGGGTGTGGGGAGAAAATGACTGCACCTCTTCCAAAGTGCAGTCGTGGAGAAAAAGGGGTGGGGGGTGGCTGGGGGAAAGTCTCCCTCTCTCTCGGGCTGGGATTTGGCTGCCAGCGCTGGTTATATTGAACAATGAGCTAATTCTGATGGTAGCTGGCTGCATGCCAGCTCCCCGCTCCCCTCCCGTCCCCTCCTTACACATACACACTCCCTCCGCCCGCCTCCCCCCACCGACCCCCCCCCCTTTCCTCCCTCTTCCCCCCTCCTCCCCCCCCTCCCCCCTCCCGCTGCTGCAGCGCCAGACTGCTTAGTCTGCAATAATCCGCAGCCGCACGTCCCCGCGCTGTCTGGCGGCCGGGCCAGCGACCGCCCCGCCGACGGCCGCAGCGCACGGCGCGGGAGGCGGCGCCCCCCCGGGCGCTGAGGGGAGCGGCGAGGTGCGGCGGCCGTTGGTGCCCTCGCGCCGCACCGCGCGCGCGGGGTCCGGCGCTCCCCTGGCGGCGGCACGGCGCGGGGTTGGGCGGCGGCCAGACGCGGAGCGGGACCGGCGCACTGAACGGCCGCGGCCCGCCGCCAGCGCCCGGGAGCGGAGCCGCGCGGCGCGGGGGAGGGAGTAACCACATACTGTAATAATAACCCTGCGGCAGCGGCTGCAAAGGGCATCTGAGGAGAAGGGGAGGGAGACGGAGGCGGCCGCCCGCCCGCCGCTTCGCCTCGCCGGTGCCCGCCTGTAAGAAAATGGTGGGCAGGAGCAGGGAGCGCCGCGCCGAGTGGCCGAGACCCGCGCCGGGACCCCGAGAGCCGCCCTCCAGGGCGAGCGGCCCGCTGGGAGCTGAGACCCTGCCCTGCGCCGGCCTTCCGATCCGAGCTGAGCCGCGGCTCCGGCAGCCGTGCTGCGAGCCGCAGGTGCACGGAGCCCGCCCGCGGCCGGGACGAGGCGGTGGCACGGGGCGGCAGGGCGGGGATCGCCGCAAAGTCTGGCTCCGGACCGTGCGTGCCTGCGGCGGGCTGGCAAGAGGCCAGGCGCGCACAGCCGGACCGCACTGCGCGTCCCAGAGTGACCGTGAGCGGACCTGATTCTGAGCAGATCTGCAGAGCAAGGGGGCAGAGCGAGGGGACACAGCGAGGCAGAGGCAGCCAAGCAGAGCGCAACATGGTGGCTCAGAAGGCAGCACAAAGACTCCCGCGGTGACGGCACCAAGAGAGGAGTACAGCACTTTGGTAGGGAGATGATACGCTGCTAAGTAGCTTTACCTCTTTATACGCTACACAGAAATATATGGTAAAAAAGAGAAACAAGTGCCCCGTTATCCTGCAACATGTGCAGCTGTCTTCCTTAAAGTCAAAAGAGCCTAAAATCATACATGCTGCAGGCTTGGTGAAAGTTCAGGCTTCTCCATTTCGTGTTTTTTGAGCAATGAAACTTGTTTTCCAAGTTCACTTCTAAAACACCCCATGAAACTGCACTTTTTGATGGTCCACACAGGATTTCCATTTGTTTGATGTGGAGTACATGCTTGAACGTCCCCCAGTCAGCTGCCACTCCTCTGACCATGCCCTGCAAGCACACCAGCTTACGGAGACTTCCAAGTGGAGGGAGAAAAGTAGGACACAAGCAGCCCCTGATACTTAAATCTGTGATGAGCTGTGATAGTAATTCTAACTTCAGTGCGCTAGGCTCAGATTGTTAGCCACTTAGGGCACATTACTGCATCATGTAATTATTCCATTTCCTGGAACAAATTTCTTCAAAGAAACCAGAGTATCTTCCATCCCCTCTGTTTTCTGCTGGATTTCACATAACCACTCTGCTGGCACACACATTTTCACCTCAGAGACAGAGCTACTCAGTGCCTTTCTGCCAGTCTCTACCTTTCCCTACCTCCCAGATGTGGCTTTCTGGGAGATCTCTTCCTTAAAAGGAGGGATAGATCCATGTTCTCATTCACTTGGATACTCTCACACCTTTTCCCTGCTGTTGTCATCATGGAAATGAAAATCCACAGAAATTCATAGTTACTACTGCTTGTGGGTGTTCTCCTGTCTGCCTCCTCCACATGTTGTCACCCATCAACTATCAGGCCTCTATCACACTAGAAGTTGAACATCTAAGCTCCATCTTGAGATGGTTAAGGAGCATTCTTCTAACAATTTCTGGAAAAGCAGATGTGTAGATGTCCCAGTGAAAGTAGAAGTCTCTCACTTGAGTGAGAGAAAAAATTCCCTTTGGTTTCTGTTCTTCTCCTGGCCTGGGTGAATGTGTATCCCAGCTGGTATCAGTGATTAGCCTCTGGGGAATTAAACTTTGTGTCAAGTAGGTAAGTATGAGGGAGGTGATAGGCTTGCATCAAGGAAGCCGCTACAAAGTTGAGGTGGACAGTGTTGAAATCACAGAATCACAGAGATTGGAAAAGACCTACAAGATCTTCCAGTCTAACCATCCACCTATCACCAGTGGTTTTCACTACGTGGGTTGAACATGCCAATATAATGCATACTGGATATTACATGGGATTTCCTGAAAAGCTATGGGGAGAGGGATGAGATCATGCAGGTTGTGAGCTCTGAACTTAGAGCTTCAGTATCTGTCCCTCTGCAGCTGCTTCAAAATCCTGTGAGAACAGCTCCTGTAGACGTTATTCTAATGTGTGTCCTCACCTAAAAGAGAACTGCTGCAGAAGGGATAAAATGTATGATAACAATGACCGTTTTCATTTCAGTCAACAGCAATTTATGATTTCCAGACTGGCAGCTGTGCACTTGAAAAACAGCAGCCACAACACCAGTGTGGGCCTAAGACTCTAGAATATGTACCACAATGATCTAACAGCATAAACAGCAGGAAAAACAAAAACAACAACAACAACAAAAACAGCCAGATACAGTGGCTTGCATGCTTGTCACTCTTCCTCTGCAAACACCATTCCGGATCTAACATAGGAGTGCTAGTCTGAAACATACAGCCTCTATGATCTGGTTAATTCCAGCAAAGCCCCAGTCAGGTTGGGTAGGATCCTGGGCAGCCTGATCTAGTGGGTGAAACCTTGCCCACAGCAGAGCATTGGAACTAGCTGGTCTTTAAGATCCCCTCTAACCTAAGCTATGGATCTGTGATTTTCTGTTTTTAAATCATAGCAGGGCACAGCTTAACTCTTAAAAAAATGTGGATATCTGGGAAAAAGAGCCATCAACACAGTATGTCTCCTTTTATATCTCCTACCTGACAAGTCTATCGAGTATCTTCTAATTCCTATATTTGAGAAAAACTGAATTATCATTCCCCAAACAGGATTTACAATTCCCACTGGCTTTAGAGAAAGTTAGAACACTTAAAACTTGGATTGACTTGTCAGTGCTTCAGTTGTACATCTGGACTGTAAAAGTGTTCATAGCAATATCTACACACTGAGAAAATGGAATCATCTGAGCTCAAAAAAAGAACCTGATCGGGAGTCATTCTAAAGTACGTGGCTTTCATTGGATTACATTTTCATATAACAGTAGCATTGGGTTGGTTTTTGTTGTTGGTGTTCTTTTTCTTTGCTTGTTTGTTTGTTTTCTATTCACAGTGACATCATTAAATGAAGTTCTGCAGATTATAGTACGATATGTATTTCACTGCCAAGTTTTGTTTCCAACAAATTACATTCAACAACTTGGGGGAAAAAACAAAAGCCTTCAGAAACTTGCAAAGGAATTTACATTTGGGCTTTGACTCATTGCAAATCCAGGTGCTTAAAAGCAGAGGGAGCATATGTAGTTTTAAGAGTGACTGGGAGATGACGACTGGGATAAAGAATTAGCATGCCCTCCCTGAAGAACGAGGTGAAGAGCAGAAAGAGGAGACAGCAGAGAAAGTGTTACACATTATCAATATTCAGAATATGTGTTACAGTGCTGATCATGGGATTTGTTGTTAATAGCCAACTAGATCAAATTCCAACACAATAGCGATTTGAATCATACATGTGTACTCTGCACAAAACAAGACGTTTCCTAACTTAAGCTGACGCTCTTCGTATGTTATTTTGATATGTGCACTTGCAACGTTGCTGTAGCTGCACTGCTTAAGAAACATGAGATGAAGCCCAGCTCTGTAACTCACATTACATACTGTAGCATTTATTCATAGTAATTGTTGCACAGAAGACTGTGTTAAAACCTGTTCTAAGTTACAGTTCAAGAGACGAATTTTTCTATTCCATTCAGTTAAATAAACAGTGTCTGTTTAATTTGAATTCATGAGTGTTCATTTAATTAAAAATGCACTTTTTATATTATAGGACAAGATTTCCTTTTTTTTTTTTTTTTTTTTTTTTTTTTTAGCAACTTAGTGAGGATCTCCTAGATTAGCTTAGTCAATACTTGAGAAGAGTGAAACCAGGTTAGGTTTAGCTGCAAATATGAGTTTAAAATTAAATTCATTTTGACTGGATTGCAAGAACTGAGTATCATTTGGTTGAAATTTGCAGGATTAGAAGCTAGGTGTTTGATCTGAATGAGTTCTGTCAGCTTATTTTCAAATGTCTGGATTTCGACTTTTTTCTCACTACAATGAAATTACATACAAACAATCAGAGATATTTAATCTAGATTAAGTACAAGAATATTCAGGATCACCGTTGCCAATTCCACTGACAGTTTCTATGATCTGAACATTCTGCATTAAGATTCCATTATTGTCACTACATTAGAAAACATTCAAGTGCCTCTGGCATTTCTGCAGCCAGATATGGAAAGGAAGGTCTATAAAAGTAATCACAAAAGTGAACACAATTTGTGGAAGACACAAACATAAACATTTCTGTTTGAAGAATATACAAAGGAAAAAACCAACATATCCAACTGTACTTAGGACCCCTTAATTCTGCAGAATAGGCCACACCATTTCCTTTAAAGTATTTCAGCTCTTCTATCAAGAAAATGTGAAGTTCTAGAAGTGATGAGTATGGAATTAATGACATTTTTAATGCTTTGTCTTTGATAATTTTATACCATAGTTTCATTTTTTTTTCTACTTCAAAAACCTACAGGGCATTTCCGGAACTTAAACCCATTTGTTTTATTCTGCGGAAAAGAATCCTGATTCTGTTTCCCAGTAATACTCCCATTCATTTTGGAGAGAGTAAGCTTCGGTTTATTCTGCATCTAATGATTCTCTCTTTTTGGTTTTTCAGGGTAGTAACCAAAGACCA